GCAAGATCGAAGAAGGAAGAAGAAGAAGGCAAAGAATATAAGAGAAGAGGAAGGAAGAAGAGAAATACATATTTTGTTATGTATGACCTTTATATAATTGGTGATAAGGAGAAAATGAAATCAAAACCCGCTTTTAAAGCATTTGGTAAGTATTATTATCTTTGGAACTATGAGCGATTAAGTGCTACAGTTCAAATAGTAGGAGAAGAATTTCCTAAGGAATTTATCCGCAAGAGAATTTTGAAAAATCAGGTGTTTCGATGGATACTGATTTTGGAGAGACGGAACAAATAAATCCAGAATTTACAAAAATAATAAAAATAATGAAACACGACGAGGAGTTTGCCAAACACATGGAACATTTAGAAAATCAGGAATATGGCTTAGATGGTATAAAAATATTGTCCGTGGAGATGATGAATAAATCAGGTGAAAAGTTTGATATATTAGCAGAAAATTTAAGAGATGCATCTAACGTATCCGTTTTCCATGCATATATATATACACATTTAAAAATGAGTGAGGACACTATACGAAAGGCAATTAAACAAGGCAATTATATTAAAAATGAATGTTGGATAAATTCATTAACTGATTTTTACAGTGATACAACCATGAATGAAAGAACCCGCAACAGACTATCCAGAGATAAAATTATTGAAATCATAGGTAGGAATGATTTTAAGGAAGTAGGAGCAACCATTCAAGAAATGGAAGCAGTATTTAAGCAGTTTAATCTTCAAGTTAGAATTTTTAATTTTGTAAATGAACTTATTTACAAATATAACCCAAAAATAAAAAACCGTCATATTAAAACATTTTACGCTATGGTGAAAAATAACCATATTTATACATTAAACCACGATTTAAGCAAAATACAACAAAAACAAGTAATATCAAAACTACCCACTATAAAGGCACACACTGATTATTATATAAATGAAAGAGAGGAACCCCCGCAATACAAAATGATTAAATGTATAAATGATATACTCAAAATAAAACTGATGATAAAACAAGGGAAGTATATTTAGTACCCGAAGATAATGATTTGGCAGAAATATTTTTCCAGTTGATAAATATTGGATATGAACCCAGAATTAAATACACAGGTACTATTGATGAAATTAGAGTCAAATTTAACAAGATAACATATATCATAAAGACTCAAAATTTAATTAAATCATCCAGCGATGGTTGGATCGCAGCAAATAATGAAACTATGTACAACAATATGAATAAAGCAATGTTTAATTTTAATAAATCTTTATTTATTTTATCTCACAAATCTTTTTATAATGACATTGATATAAAAATATTAAACGAAACAAGGACTGTAGCACCTTCGGGATTATTATGGGATAAATTTAATTTAATGCGTAAAACTGAAATCGATGAAAATAAGGCATTTACAAAGGGGTTCATAGATATTACTGAAATACCAGTTTTTAATCAGTTTGACAATTGGAAAGAATACAATGATGCAATTAATATTGATGAACTCCACGATCTAACATTATATTATATTGAAGTTAACTATCCGAATATACCAAATAAATACAGTATGGAACGTATTAAACGTAAACATCTTTTGGAGGAAAGTTTAAAATTTAAATCAAAAGAAGAAGTTGAATTCATAATGACAAAAACGTTACTGGGGAATAAAGAGGGCTTAATGTTTAATAAAAAATATAATTTAGTTTATGGTAAGTTTTTAAAAGGTTTATTAATCAATATAATATTAAAGTATTATATTATAAACAACCTTCGTTTATTCATAAAACAAACTATAAGGATATGGTTAATGAACTTTGGAAAGCTACTATAGATGAAGATGATGATGATGATGATGATAGGGACATAGATATACTAAGTAAAAAATTCATAGCAAATGTCAATTTTGGATTATTAGAGAAGGGAGAGGCTAGCGCACATCAAAGCATTTTGTTTAAGAGTATTGATGAAGCAATCCATTATCAAACAGAATACGGAGGCAAAATTCATAAGTTATCACAGATAGAAGGCAAAATTCATAGGTTATCACGTATAGGTACAGAAGACGAAGAGCGTGAGGATGAGTATGAAGAGTATACACGTGAACTAGATGAAAGAAATATAAAAGCATCATATTATATATTAAAATGAAGGGATAAAGCAGTATTAAGAAACGGCTATAGATATATTAAAGAACTACTCATGCAACATCATAATTTTAAAATGAACCAAGACATTTACAAATTAATAATCAACGATATTAATGTATATAGTGTGAAAACCGATGCTTTTGTAATTGATTCATACAATGTAGAGAAAGCAAAGCAATTATTAGAATTTCATAATGATATAGGAGGTTGGAAAGTTTCTGGGCGAGACAATGAAATTAATCTTCCTACTGTAAAATATGAAGTTGTTAAGAATGATCTAATAAAAATACCAGTTCATGAAAGTAAAACTATTGATATTAAAGATGAATACGACACTGATAACATTATAGAGATTGTTAAACAGAATAACCCTATTATGATCAGGGGCGAACTACCGGGCACAGGAAAATCATATATATGTCAAAAAATGGTTGATAAAAAATATAAGGTAATATTTATTTGTCCTACTAATAAATTATTACAGGCATTCGAAGGTGAAGCAATGACTATAAATAAGTTTTTTGGAATAAACTACGGCGATGCAAAATTAGAACCATTTGATTTTACAGAATTTGATGTAATCGTATTTGATGAAATTTATTTCAGTAATTTAAATATATATTGGAGAATAAAACAATTTGTAGAGCAGAATAAACACAACAAAATTATAGTAGCAACGGGAGACACCAAGCAATTAAAACCAGTTCAAGAGATAACAAATACTCGAGACTATGAGTTATATACTGATAATATTATAGATAACATTTTTGAATATAATATTTTGTTAAAAGAATGTAAGAGACTTAACACACAGGAAGATAAGGATAAACTAAGAAATATTAAATTTGATATTTTTGAAAATAAATTACCTATTATGAAAGTTATTGAAAAATATTTCGAATATACAACTGACATAAGCAATTCTAACAACAACATAGCATTTTTAAATACAACTTGTAAAAATGTCTCAAATGAAATTAGAAAATTAGAAAATAGAAAAGATGAATACGAAGTAGGCGAATTTTTAACATGTAGGGAATATACTAAAACTAAAACATCAGTGTTTAATGTAAATTTCAAATATAAAATAGTTCATATCGGAAGCGATGGAATATTTACATTAAAGAATGTCAAAACCGAAATTTTACAAGCAGTAGAAGTTGCTAAAATAAGAAGCAATTTTGTATTTGCATATTGCTCAACTTGTCATTCTGCCCAAGGCAGTAGCATTGATGATACCATAACAATTTTTGATTATAACCATTTTTTGGTAAAGAATTATCCAGAATGGATATGGACTGCAATTACAAGGTGTAGAGATTTAAACAAAGTTAAATTTTATAAATATACAAAAGATATTGATGATGTATTTAATCAAAAATGTATTATGAGTTATTTTGAAAGGAAAGTATTAAATTACAAAGAACAGGACAGGAAAGCAAAAAGAACCATATCTAAAGAAGGTTATGTAAATACACAGTGGTTTTTAGACAATATAAATAATCAATGCAATTACTGCGGATGCGGTTTTTCTATGGACATGAAAAATGGTAATATCATTACAAATCTAACAGCACAACGAAAAGATAATGAATTAACTCATACAATAGAAAATATCATTCCTTATTGTTGTCGTTGCAATTGTAGTTGTAAATGATAAATACCGTCAGAAATATTAATATTATTTTTAAAATGATGCATGAAAGAGATAAGATATATACACAATTTAATGGTTATCAATTGAATTATTATCCTGAACTTAAGTTATAAAATTCTATCTACCTAACCTTGCCCATAATATTTCTACAAAAATTTATGATAAAACTATTGTAAGATAATTTATCATAATTTTTGGAATAATATTTTTTAAAATTTATTTTTTGCGAATTTATTTTTTGGAAAATTACTTTTATTTTGAAAATATTATTTTTTGATTTTTTGTTTGAGAAATATTATTTTTTGAAGATATTTTTTTTTTTGAGAAATATTATTTTTTTGAACAATATTATTTTTGATTTGTTTTTATGAATGAGCTTAACCTTGCCCATGCATCCTACCATCAATAACCATATCATATGAACCACCCTATACTCCTATTTCCCCACAAGCATCCTAACAATGACAATAATGATGGAATAGAAAATGAGAAAATGTGATTTTTTTGATGGATTTTGAGGTTGAGACTGTTATGAAATGTTTTGAGTGGAAATATGCATAATGAATAAGGATGACGATTTGAATAGTGAAAAAATGGTTGAAAAATGCTGTTCTTGCGTAGAGGGGGGGCTACGCTCGGGTACCACAAAAAGATGGGCAAGGCCCACCCTAACTGATAGGGGGTATGTTTTGCATGAGGACGATGCCTTTTGATTTGAGCGGTACGTAACCTTCTACGCCACCAAGCAGTCTATGGGTGCAACAGGTCTTCCCTGTCGAATCAGCTTCTAGTGGTCAGGTTGGCATGGACACTGTTGGGCTCACCAAATTTCATCCAGAAGCCATGGCCAGTGAGGTGTACTGTACATATACCCGGACCCTTCATCGATTTATACACATTTTTTTCTTCGGGTTGGTTTAGGGCTAAAGCAAACCTGGCCCCCGTAAGGTGGCTTTGAGAACGCAACCACTTTAACGGGTGCTCAACCAGTGGGGCATTCGGCAGATTCCCCCAACATCATCCGTGCCAAGTCAAACTCCTTGGCCAAACCAGCTGTACCAAAAGCCGTCAGGGAAAACCACAAAAAGAAATACTTTCCTCACCAAACGGCAACACTGTCCCATGGTCGTTTTGACATCTTGGGGTCGAAGAGAAGATGAAGCGAGCCGGCCCCTTGGACCCTACCCGGCGGGTGCCAGGAGCAGCTTCCCACGGACGGGCGCCCCATGCCGCCGACCTTGCGGCCGCTGCTGCAGCAGCTGCTGCGCCGGCTCTTTCGGGTCTACGCCCACGCGCTGCTCGGCAGGGGATGGGAAGGCCGAGCTCAGGCATGGTTTTCCCTTAGCTTTGGGAGCTGGGCTTTTTTCGTGGGGCCTGGGGGGGAGGGAGGGGGAGGGAGCTCAAATGAGCCCTTAACAGAGCCTTATTGGGGCTTGTTTGGCCCCCCAGGCCACCATGTTTTTTACTTTTGCCAGAAGACCGTTTGAACAGTGCACAAAAGGCCCGAACTTGTTGTGGCCACTTTTATGAAGTGAGCCAACACGTCAAAAACCCTAGCAGATCTCCATCATCAGTACTGCATTTCATTTTGCATTCTGCGGGGATGGACCGTACAAGGAACCCTGAGTAGGTGCTTGCCTTTTTGAGAAACTCGCCATATTATCCGTGGAAGTGATGGATCCTGCTCCTTGTAGCGAGGCCCTGCATGGGTTTGTCGCCATTTTCCTGCCCTAATGTTTGTTGCGGTTGGGTGAAAGTAGATGGCGCGATTCCCCCATTGGATTTAGTCATCCCCTCTACCCAAAGAAAATTATGCTACCTACTTTGAGACATGGGTCTTATTTTTCCGCCCTTCGTTCGTTTCGATTTGATAACCACCCGGTATCCACCCGGTTATTTCACATTCGCCCGGCTCAGGTACGTGCACCATTTCCAAATCATCCGCGAAGCTGGGGCGGAGGCTCATCTCAACTGCCACTCGCCAGTCGGGAGGTCTTTCGGAGTGTGCGTTTTTTGCAGGGGTGCGCTTTTTCAGGCAATACGACTTTGGTGGTTGGATTGGTTTGGGAATTTGGATGTGAGCCCTGGTTTTTGTAGAGGGTAAACGGGAAACCACCCCGGAACACCGCCAAACCAACGAGGGGGGAGCTGACTTTGCAGATCGGTTTTCCGGAATCTCCTCCCGGGAAACCTTTTGGGTTTACCATGGAATCCTCGAGAGGGCGGTTTACGAGCAGGTCCTTGTCCATTTCCAAGATTTGTTCTCCAGTTCATGATTGCATTTTGGGACAGGATCAGTCATTGCTGTCATTACCATTCCGCTTCGAAACAAGGAGGCACACGCAACACATCATCTCCAGCAAAACTCGAAAATCCAAGGCCCGAACCAGGCCGAAAAGGCTCTCATTCCGATGACCCCTGGAAAATCCCCCAAGGGCAAGGAAAACGGGTTCCCACATTGCCTTTGGCTGGCGTTTTCACACTCATGCGCCAGGTTTTTGCGAGTTTGGGGAAAGATGCCACCCCTTGCAGGAGGTTTTCTGTTGGCCTTCTAAGGGGTGCTCCTTTGGCAAAGAAAGGCAACTAGCGACGCGGGAAGTTGGTGTATGGTGTGGTTCCCTTTCATGGGGTGATTCACAACACTTCCAAGACGCCAGGCAAGAGGGCACCGGGGATGCAACTTTGGCCCACGGAAGGGAGGCCCTTTCCTTTCAAATGACCGCCTCTCGAGGGTCCGCGTGAAAGCTCCCGGCTAAAGATGGTTTGCTGGTTTATGGTTGATGCGTTCTCTGCGCGGAGTCCTTCTACCAAACAAGCCGACTAAGTAATTACTATGCTGGCCAGACAAAAGTTTGAACCCCTTCCCCCCAGAATCCTGCGTGCAGTCAGTTTTGGACCCGGCAAGCCTTTTGCTATTTAAATGTTCCAGGTCGTGAGAATCACTTGTTGGCCCAGTAGTTTCTTTCAACACAGGAAAGAAGCATGAACTTAGGGTGCCTTGGGTTGGAAGTGGACACACGCTTGGAGATAGATCGATCGCTGCGCAAACTGCTCAAAATGGATTCTTGGAACCAGCACAACAAGTCATTTGCGGAAGATAGGCTTTTCGGGCAAGTTTCGGTGATCTCAAGGGAATCCTTTTTAAAGTGACAAGGCAGTCATGGGAATCGACCACTTTGGTAGAAAGGTTTCTTTTCCACAATGCCACCGTTTTTTTTATTTGGCCGAGGCAACTTCAAGCACTTCCTCTTCTTCGTGCTGGAGCCGGGCGTCTCAGGTCGTTCGGCCAGCGAGCATTGCCCCTCTCCCCCTCTCCCATGCCTCGCGACTCGCGACGCGTCTGGGTCCCCGCTCCCACGTCTTGAGGTTCAAACTGGTGCAGATGGACGAGATGCTCCCGCTGGAGCCATGCAAGATGTTGTGTTGTGCCCTGGGAACGAAGGCGTTCTCGGACTTTGGGTGGCGCGTGCATGCATTGATGCATGGTGTTCGCCGGATTGGTTCTTTGGAGAGGGACTTGTTGGTTGCAGTATATACATATTGCACATACATGTACACATACACATGCGTATATATATATATATACATATATATATATATATGTTGGGTCGGCCCTGTTCAAAATCTCAAACAAATTGCAGGGGGGCCAACGGGGGAGCACCTCAAGAGCAATCGGGGCTCAGAGTTGGGCCTACTCAACTTTTTTTCTCAGCAGACAGTTTTTGGTGCTGGTTTGGAATTGTATTGGTTTGGTTTTTAGGTTTAGGTTTTTTTGGTATTGGTTTGGGTTTAGGTTTTTTTGTATTGGTTTGGGTTTTTAGTACCGGTTTTGAGTGCTGGCTTATTTTTTAGTACTGGCTTTCGTTGAGCTGGCCCAGTAGACTTTTTGCAGTTGGTCCACGATTGGCTTTGTGTTTCTTTGTAGCGAAGTTCTCTAGTCTTGAGAATTGGTTCAACCTCTTCCTCAGTACCGGCCCACAGAGTTTTCTTTTGTCTAGTCCATTCCTGTAAACATGTTGTGAGAGAAGAAGGGGAGAGAAGAAGGAAGGGAGCAGGGGGAGAAGGGAAGGGAGAGGAGAAGGGGGAGAGAAGAGAAGGGGAAGAGAAGACATTTAGTATTATTAACTTTTCGCGGCTTCTCTGCACCACCTGCTTGGCGGCTGGTACAGGGTGTCACAAAGAATTTGGCTGCTTGGGGCCTAAGTTTGGTTTGCTCGCTCAGGGCGGCTTAGTATTGGTTTAGTTAGTATTGCTTTAGTCCTTCTTGGTATTAGTTTAGTATTAGTTTAGTCTATGTTTGTTATTGGTTTAGTATTCCGCTGTACTGGCCCAGAGACTTTAAACGTTCTCTGTTTCCTCCCCTTAAACATTTATCATTATTAATGTTTTGCGGCTTCCCAGCACCCCACAGCCCCCTTGTGATTTTTGGAAGCGGTGTTCGTAAAGTGTGGCATAAAGAGTTTGGCTGCTTGAACCTAAGTTGGGTTTGTTGGCTCAGGATGGATAGTTGTGGTTTAGTATTGTTAGTTAACTGTCAGGGCCGGCTGGGGCACATAATTCTTTGTGTTTCTCACCTTCGGACGGGGGCAAACAATTTCCACCGAAGCTACACTGTGCGGTATTTTCTCGTCCTTGTGCTTCTCAGGGTGGGGAATCATATTGGGCGATTCGCGTCATGAACCCGTGGGGCCTTTTCGCTTTCTGAGTTGGACTAAACTTTTTGGGAAGACCTTTTCAGTTGTCAATGAACAGTTTTGGCCAATCCACTCAGCCCTCGCCCTTGGCTTCAAGCCCTTAAGATCAGTTTTCCACGCCGCAGGAGGGCCTCATCCGCAAGTTTGCCGGGGATATGCTGGAGTGACAGGCCAGGATCCAGAGATCCCAGACCTCTTGGCCACTTTTTGCATAATGATCCTTACGGTGGATCCGAGTTACCCATAAATTGTAGGTAACCAGCTATTTTCCTTTTCGTTTTTTAAAGGGTGGCTCCCTTGGTTACCTACCATACAGGCAAATGGATCCACTGGCTACGTTTGGCAACTCTACTTGGGTGGGTATGTCACAACCTGCAGCCGTTCCTTCGTGCCTTGTGAATATGCTTCGTGGCTCATTTGTGCTGTATCCTCCTCTGTTTTTTTTTTTTTTTTTGTTTGCCTCGTTGGTTCTTTTCATTTTGACAAAGACCCGCCCTTTTCTGGCCAACGTACCGGGGACCTGCCGTTGAGGAAAAGACCGAAGTTTCCCTGCGTCTGGGGACTCCCAACAGCACAAACCCCCCAGAGCTTGAACACCATTTGGGGCAAATGTGAGGACCGCTGCTGGATTTGCTTGTCGGAAAACCAAGCAATCGTTCAAAAACATTGCAATGCTGTCTGGGATCATCAACCCAGTCAGCACCCGCTTTCATTTTGGTGTGGGAATGGTCGGCCCAAGGACTTTTTTTCTACCAGAGTCACTGGTTGGGTCAACAGCTAAACGGGGCTCAGCCTTCGAACGCGCGTGGCTTCTCTCCGAGCATTTATTTCGGTCGGCATGCCCGAGCAAGGCGCCAGTCACTCTGACGCGAAGCTGAAGGCTTCCGAATTCATTTGCTCAGCCGGTAGGCACCGACACCAGGAACGGATCCTCCCCAAAACCCAAAGGGCTTGGGTTTCTCAGCCCGGTCCGAAATGGCAATTTCCAGACCCTGTCCAGGCCATTCCCCTTTCAACAGGAACCTTTGACCGACTTCGGGCTGAACCATTGGTCGCTGTCTTTGGGGTCTCCTGTGGTTTGTGGGACTGGTTTGATGCCTACCGGCTGCGCCCCTAAGTTCATCCGCGGTGATTTTGTCCCACTTCCAATGCTGGCGTGTTGCGCAGGCCCTTGCGCAGGTCTACCAGCTTAGCGTCTGGACACGTTTCCACCTCTTTGGCCTTTTGGATCAGGACGCTTGGTGCAGAGCCCCAAACGTTTGTTTCATGGAGTCTGCACGATTTAGAGTGATCTCACCAACGGGTAAAGCGAGTTCATCCGCGATGAAGATTTCTTGCTAGTGGATTCCGAAATTCTTGCTTTGTGAGTTGTGTACTTAGTGGAGAAACACAAAGGGGACAGTATCTAGTATGTGTGTTTTACCATGCTAATACGGGATTTAGGAGGTTCTGTAGCAGGCGCAGTTTTCGGCGCATTTGTCGGGCCAGGTTGTGTACTCGATTCCTTGTGGTCGTCCCCAATCATTGCCTGTTGCTTGCTTGCTTTCGTTCCCGCCTCGCTCAAGTCTGGTTGTGGCAGATGGAATGATCCAATTGGAGTGCCAGGTGGTATATTGGAATCACCTTCCTCATCTAGGTCCCCTAGTAGTGCCCTTTTACCCTTTTTTTGGGGAGGGTTCCCCTACTAAAATAGACTACAGAAAAAGACGGTACCCTTATTCTAACCTCTCTACTGGAGGACCCAGTCATGGGACATTCGATTCTTTGCCCGCCGGCCTGCGGCCCAAGCCGAAGCCGGATCGGGCCGAATTCAACCGCTCGAAGAAAAGAGAGGCTGGGGATCCTGTCACAGGAACTCCCCAAAACTCTGGGGGTTTATTTCTGGGCAGACACCCCCCTCCCCCCCAAAAACAAACTCTGGGGGTTTGGTGTGTGTATTTGTGGGCAGACAACCCCCCAATTTCTGCGCCAGGTTCATGCATCCACGGTCAGATATTCCTAGGGTGCTTGCACCATGAGATGATTGTGTTTTTTAAGCTCAGCAGAGGTTGGGGCAGCCGGGTCGGATGTGTCAACTTGAGTCTACTAAGCTAACGGTTCCGAGCCGTTCCTGCGAGATGATATCAAGACGACAAAGTTGGAAGATTGGTAAACTTAGGAAACACTCAATTGGTGGTTTGGATTAGTTTGGGAATTTGGATTTGAAGCCCTTGCTTTTGTAAAGGGCAAACGGGAAACCACTGCCAAACCACCAAACTACAGATCCAAGCCACTGGGATTCCGAGCTCAAAAAGCCAAGAACAAACATGTTCGCCCATTCAGCAGGATTGCTTTAAGGATAGATTCAGGCCATATCAAGTCCTATGTTTACCAACTTGTGAAATTGGTAATTTGGGTTGATGTTTTCCTTTTTCTGCAAATGGTTTCCCTTTCATCTGACTTGTAAGCGAAGCTTTCGAACTTTTGAGCCTGTCTCTGTTTAGTGGCGGCTCGCCTGGGTGTATCTTTGTTGAATGTGCGTTTTTGTTCTTCTGTTTTTTTCAGGACCTCCCGAAGGACAAGCACCATTTTCGGGGGCTCTGCCCTCCCACCAATAAACATGGAACCTGACGTTCGGGCCCCCGCCCCTTTAAAAAGAACAGGGTCCAAACCAGGACCCCCCCCCCCCCCAAAACGTCGAACGGTTCCATGTTAACGGGTGGGAGGGTATTTTGACGCGTGCCCATCTCCTAAGCCACCGCCCGCTCGTTTCCGATCCGCTCGCTCGTTCCCTTCGGTTCCAGCCGGCCCGGTGCGAGCCATGTGCTCAGCGTGCGGCGATGGAGGAGCCGCCGGGGATTGCTGAACTTCCATCTGAAACGAGCACGTTTTATTTTCCCGTTGACTTCGAAGGGAACTCTTTCACTCTTGGACATATGTTCTCATTTGTTCTAGGGGGCTTAAGCAAATGGAGGTAGGTGTCCTTTGTAGGCTAGTTTGAATAGAAATAGATGGGTTCGACTAGTTAGTTTAGATGGAGTTTGTCCGAGTTACCAGGGAAACCCATCTATTTTTGGAAAAAGGGCACCAATGCTTAGGAATTTGGAGCATGGTTGTATGTCTCATTCAACCTGTGGGGGTAGTGTCATATACTGACCTAGAGCCACAGGGGAGACATTGCAAGAGATTGTGACTAATGTCTACCCCGCATCAAGAAACCCCTGGTTGATTCATAAGGGGGGTATTCCCCTCTAGTGATGAACCCCAACTGCACCAGGCACACCCCCCTATTAACAAACTGTGTTCATGAATGGGGTTGATCAATATTCCTGGCCCCAAACGACAATGGGTAATTTTTCCCATTTAGTGGGACACATGATCATCTTGGTAGTTTTCCCCATTGGTCATCCCATGTAAAGGACCTTGTGATCAACCCCATACTCCGGGGTTGTTCTTAGGGCCCCTGCAAATTCAGGTCCCCCCGGCCCCCTCTCGCCCAAAAAAGATCCCCTGCCGAAAAAAAACGAGGAGAAGGCTGAGAAGGTTTGGACCTGCCGACGCGTGCTGCAGACCAGCAAGCGCGAGAAGGAGCGAGAGGTGGCCGTGGAACCACCTTTGGCTTGGGGGACAAAAAGTCGTGTTGGTAAACCAATGGATCCCCCCAAAAGGAGAAATCCACGGGGGATGGTTCATGTCCTTCCTCATTCCCGGCATCCGGAAAAAGTCAAGCTTTTTTGGGTGGGCTGGCTTCCGGTTTGAGGGTCGTCTTGACTTCATTTGCGTAGCTGAGTTGCTGGTTCTCAGAACGGCTTTTTTTTTCCTGGGTCCCATTGTGGTCATTGGGTCTCCTTCGAAGAGAGACCTGGACGATGTTCAAGCAACCATGGGTTGAATCAGTCGCTGGGTTGGTATGTTGAGGGGTTTCCAAGTGAATTGCTTTTGGCGGTGTCCATTTTGAGGATGTTCCTCAGCAAGCTGCATCCAGCTTTGGATTCCCATTTTCGAGGGGTGAGACAAGCCCGTGTCGTTTTTGACGGGAAAGTCTGGCCTTCCAAGAGGCTTAGACGGAGATCACTTGGGGCGAACTTGCGGTGACGTTGCTCCCCACGTTTCCACAAACGAGTTCCCCCCGCGAAAAATAGTGGTGGTGGTTGGGAGGAGTTCGGTAGATCTCAATTTGTTGTTGCACAATTGTGTCCCGGACGAGAAGCGTGGGCACCTCACCCCCTTCCCCCTTGAGATAGGATTGGTAAACTCTTCCTTGCGGTTTTGCTTGGTTCAGGCACATCTTTTTGCTGGTCGAATCAAGCATTTTATCAGTCTCCAAGTATTTACTCTTCTCCTGCTCCATTTTTGGGATGCCCAAGTTTACTTGCGCTTGGGGTGTGGTCCTTTCGGGTCCTGGGGCAACTGGTCAACAGACTCCAAATCCAGCCCATGTTGCTTGGTTCCCCTCAAAACATTTCCTCGAACATGATGACCCCCCAAAAGGGTCGGTTCGTTGGTCCCTTGAACTGAACTTTGAACAATAGGAAACCCACACATTTTCGGGGTTCGATCCAAATGGGGGACCATGTCTCTTGTGAATCTGGGGCGCCGAATGGATTCAGGAGAGCAAGCATGGGCCATTGATCAGGGCGGTGACCGAGCAGATTGTTGACATTTACAGCAACTGCTGCTCGGAGCCTCAAAAAAAGCACCGCTCGGATCCTGGTTTGAGTTGGTGTGTGCAGGAGGATGGTGTCCCAGTTAAACGCTCGGAGTTCACAGGCTTGAATTGGTTTTTTGAATTGGCTTGGAGGCGTGCAGAGGGTGGATTTCCATTTGTGCTCAACAACCGGGGGTTCAAAACCCCAAACCGCCAATTAGGGGTGGCCTGAAATCGTGAGTCTGCTCCAAGCCGATTTTCTAAGGGTAGAGTTAAACCAGAAGCAGAACCCGAAACCATTATTCTAAGTCCTTCGCGCTGCCCGCCTGGGCCGGGGCCAGTATGGTTTGGGTTTGCCGTGAGGTGTTCGTTTGGGCGACAAGCGAAGCCCGAGGGCCTGGGCTGCGGAGCCACCAGAACACTTCGGTTGGGGCTGACCTTTCTTTGTGGAATTTGTGACGGGTTTCTGGGGGCATCCGGAGAAATTGGACCAGTCTTTGGAGAATTTGGCCGGCGTCTGGCAGGAATTTGGTGCGGAGGACTGTTGTTACCGGTTTCTAGGGAAGAGCTTTTTCAAGAGGATCTGACCGGAGTTGGACCAGCTTTGCTTTGGTGCATTTTGCTTGGCTATTAGGACTTTAACTTTTTACCAACTGATGGGTTTTCCGTATTAAACCACTAGTTATTCACTTTTAGCAGAGCAGAAAACCAGCGAGTTTAGAAGGGAGTTGCTTGGTGAGAGGCGGGGAGTTTGATCGGCTTCTGGGGGGCTTTGCACCGGCTCGGATCTGACTTGGCCCTGGCGCGAGTTTTCATCTCAACGGTGTACACATTTGTGAGCAGTTTCTTGACCATCCCCTTGCGTTTTAGGTTTTTAATTGGTTGAGCGGGGTTCCATTTTAAAAATCGTAGGGGATCTGAAAGAAACCATGACCTTTGGCCAAAGCTTTTAGAAACGGATCTGGAACCGGGGACAGGCCAGGTTTGTGTGATGCCCAAAACTGGGAGTTTGTCCCTTTGGTCTGCCAGAACCAACTCATTTATCCCACCAAAAAGTCTAGGGACTCGCGGAATGTGCCCACGAAAACCCCGGGCTGTTGGAGATCTCCAATGCCGGGCTCCCATACAGGTCCCAAGTTGGGACTTTTAGCAGCGAGAGCTTTGTGGCATGTGGGTGGCTCGTTGTTTTTGTTTTGGGGATGCGGACCTTTTTTCCCCCAGGCTCCGGCGAGTACTCCTACTCCACCAAGCTGCGCCTTTGCTGGATTCGAGTGCTGGAAAAAGGTGAGCTGCCGCCCCCTTTTCGTAAGATCCACCACTTAAGGGGGAAATACCATGGTACAACCCACTTATCATGGTTATAAGTCTCTGAAGTGGATTTTAACCAGGCTTACCAACCTTTAAGTAAGCTCCCTCAGGCCCAGATCTTGGCATTTTGTTCGGAAGCGCGTTCTGGTGGAGAAGGGACCCCCCCCATTCACTGTTTTTTTTTGGAAATGATCTTGCACTTGGTTCACTAAACATGGACCGGAATTTCAATGATCTCAGGAATTTCCATGATCTCATCTTTGGTTGAGCAGCATAGTTTTCTCAGCTTCCATGTGGATTTTTTCCAAACCGGGCCCTTTTTCGGGCAGACTCAGATCCCATTTTGGGGTCTTCGGGGTTGGTTCGCTTTATTGCGGGGGGGTTTGGTTAAAAGAATCTTTGGCTGACCTGGGCCTTGTTTTCAGTTGTTGGGTGCAGGTATTTGTCTCTCTCTCTCTCTCTCGCCCTCCCTCCCTCCCTCCCTCCCTCCCTCCCTCCCTCCCTCCCTCCTCCCTCCCTCCTCCCCCTCCCTCCCTCCCTCCTCCCTCCCTCCCTCCCTCCCTCCCTGTC